TGTATAAAATAGAAATAAAACCAAATCAAATGTCATACTGATTAATGCGACAGGGAGTCAGTGTGCCTATTATAAATAAAAATGTCAGACCTGTTTATACACCTGTATATACGAGTATAAATACATTTCAAATAATTAATTGGGGTTTCTAGGGTTTTTGAATACAGAAAAAGAAAGTCAAATGAAAAACAACTTTTTAAATAATTGACACAATTTACAATATGTTATCAGAAGATATTAATATCATTATTGATTATATATTTTATTTATTAAATTGTTGTTGAGTATAAAGATATTTGTGGAAAATATTCAAATATCTTGTTTCTTCAGCCTGTAATAACAATGTATAGCTGCCACTAATGACCAATTATCTAGCCATTCAACCCTTATTATATGGAATGTATAATGTAGCAGGCAACTTCAGGCTTTATGAGTGTACTTAGCTGCTACAAGGAGAAAAGATGGAAAGAAACATGCCTACGTTTACTGCATTTACTACGTCAATAATGCCAACTAGTTGCGGCAGCCCTAAAAAATGTCTGTTATTTAATATATAGTGATTTCAAACTTGTGAAACTAGAAGGTCCCTTGGAGAGTGCAAGGTATGTATTAACCATGTATTAGTCCATGTATTAACATCATGATATGGATCCGCTCCAAAATGTGGCGACCCATGCTTCACACTTGTACCAAGTTTTATAAAACAAATGAAGCAATTTACAAACCAAACACTAAACGTAAACTCCTTGACGGATCCAAACGGCCAGCCAATTAGAAGAATAACTTTTGGATTGAAATTGTAAACACTGCAAAAAAGTATCTTGCCAAACAACATGATAACATAATTGACTTCAGTTCATACAGTGACAGCCTCTCAACAACCGCAAGGCTGTTTCTTATCAGCGGACCTTGTTTGCCTCAGTGTCTGCCTCCTGTTGGTAGATTAATGTCAAGAGCATGTTATAATAGGCAACCATGGAGGAGCCTTGATAGTTGGAATATAAACTACCCTCTAACAAACTGTGAACTGAAACACATCACACATGCAGACATGGTCTGTCCCGCAGAAGTCTGACCCTTTTAGATTTCCTCTCACATGAGTAACTTGTCGAGATGTTGGTTGCTTATGTTTTGGGCAGATGGATGTCTGCAGGTAAAACTGAGATTGTTTAGGGTTAGGTACAGTGTGAGGTGGTTTGGATTAGACAAGGACAAATATTTCATCTAAATTTAACTGAAAGGAAAGTATACTTGATGTACTATTTTAAATGAGCTGTTGTGTGTGTGTGTGTGTGTGTGTGTGTGTGTGTGTGTGTGTGTGTGTGTGTGTGTGTGTGTGTGTGTGTGTGTGTGTGTGTGTGTGTGTGTGTGTGTGTGCTGCTTCATTGCTATCTGTTAGCCAGCCATCTAGTTTACAACTCTTTGCTAGTCATGTCTAGCTAATTACAGCACAAATAAACATTTAAACAAGGAGCTGAGCCAGTTTTGAAGCTAGTATTTCATATTGTTGTTGTGTTCAATTCATTAATTATAACCTTACTGTTATTCGTCTGCAGTATCTGGGAAAAACAATGTGAGTTAGAACTTTTTATTTTTTTAAACAGCTTAAACTATTATCATAAAATGTTTTATATATATTCATAGTAATTCAGGTCATATTTTTAAATTGCACAAATGATGCAGTCAGTACTTGATATTAATTATACTTTCAAGTTATTTAGCTATTTCCTCTCCAGGTTTTTAGTATTTCAGCAGTTGTCTTGTAGCACAAATTCAAGTTTTGAGTCTATGGAACATCTGGATGCACTAACAACCTCATGTAAGATGCCTATCAGGAGCGCTCAGTTAACAATAGCAATTATGGTTACACATTCCATTGTCGTCATTATTCTTCCCTTTGTGTACTATTGCCAAGGGGATGTTTAGACGTGAGCTGTGGGGCAAAGCTATTAAAAGCATCAAGGATTAACATGTTGTTATTTTAAATGTGCTGGTCTTTAGTTCTGGGCAGATCTTTAAACGGCAAAAAATATGGTCTAGATATGATTCAGTATTAATGTGTGCATTTTCCATACAGAGTTTTCTGCACGGCACAGAGTTTAATCATCGATGTTCTCTCCACAGGGAAGTAAGCGGGGGTGTACGTTGCCTCTCTCTGTAGTTTCCTTTCCATTACCATGAGTTGGAGTTTCCTGACTCGCCTGCTGGAAGAAATCCACAACCATTCAACATTCGTGGGCAAGATCTGGCTCACAGTCCTGATAGTTTTCCGCATCGTGCTGACGGCCGTGGGTGGGGAGTCTATCTACTACGATGAGCAGAGCAAGTTTGTCTGCAACTCGGGCCAGCCGGGCTGCGAGAACGTCTGCTACGACGCCTTCGCTCCACTCTCACACGTCCGCTTCTGGGTTTTCCAAATCATCCTGGTGGCCACGCCTTCCCTCATGTACCTGGGCTACGCTGTCAACAAAATTGCCCGGGCAGAGGAGCAGTGCGAAAATGGGGGAGTGAGTGGAATGTCGCGGAGGAAGACCAAGAAGCCCTACCTTGCTGGCAGAAAGCAGCACAGGGGCACCGAAGAGGCCGAGGAGGACCAAGAGGAAGACCCCATGATCTACGAAATGGCCGAGGTTGAGAGTGACGGTGATGGAGCAGCGAAAGGAGTCAGTGGTGATAAAAATGCAAAGGTCAAGGTGCGTCATGATGGCCGCCAGCGTATCAAAGAGGATGGACTGATGCGTATTTATGTCCTTCAGCTCTTGACGCGCTGCGTGCTGGAGGTGTTGTTCCTGTGTGGACAGTATGCCCTGTATGGATTTGCTGTTCCCGCCTCCTACGTGTGCTCTGACGACCCCTGCCCTCACAAAGTGGACTGCTTTGTATCCCGGCCCACTGAGAAAACTATCTTCCTCCTCATCATGTACACAGTCTCCCTGCTCTGCCTGGCACTCAATGTCTGGGAGATGCTTCACCTGGGCGTCGGTACCATCTGTGACATCGTGCGCTCTCACCGGGTGCGCCTCCCAGAGGAAGAGCTGTACGGGCTTACGCGTGAACAAGGAGCTCTTAATGAGGCACGATTGAGTGGAGACGATTACAGCAGCTACCCTTTTTCTTGGAACGCACCATCAGCTCCGCCTGGGTACAACATCGCCATCAAGCCTCTCCTGGTATCTACAGGGCACCACGACCAGCCACTTCCCATTACTGATCTGAATAATGCTAAGATGACAAGCAGGCAAAACCACGTGAACATTGCCCAAGAGGAGCGCCAGCAGTACACCAATAATGAAGAGAACCTGTGCAGAGGAGGGATGGGAGATGCTTCCAGAGTTCTTAAGGACATCCATCAGCCTCAGAACCAGCTGGAGGCCTACAGCCAGCCACAGAGCCACACTAACAACCACAGCAAGCCTCACCGTGAGCGGAAACACAGACAGGCCTCCAAACACACCGCAAGCAAGTCAAACAGGGCCGGAGGCAGTAGCACCAGCAGTAGCAGCAAATATGGAGTCATAAAGGGCTCCGAGTGGATCTGAAATTCACACTACAGATTTGTGTTTTCGTTATTCTTAAAAATGCAAATCCTGATGCAGGAAGATGTTGGTGCTTTCTTTAATTCCCTGTGAATATGCAGAGGCTGCCATGCTGTAACCTAAGGTGCCTTAGTTAAACACAAAATGTCCTCATCACTATGGACTGAAAACAGTCCTACTGTCTATGTGAGTCTTTTTTCATTACCATCCAGGTTACACTTTAAAAAGTATTGTTTTTTTCTGAGTATGCAATATTATATGCACGTTTTAATTCATTGTTTTTCCGAGCCATGAAGATAAACAAGAGAGTATGTTTTCATGTAATCATTTTACAGTATTTCCATGTATTCTTTGAAGAGCCAAATTAAGTTCAGTAATGTTTTAAAAGTTTTTGAAATGTATCATTCAATGAAAATGTTTGGCAAAGTTTAATGATCTAACTGTTCAAACTGTTGTCATTGTCTTAGTGCCAAGTTGTTTTTTTGTTTGTTTCACCTTTATGCTTTAAAGGTTTTCTGCATCATTAGTGTTTAATTAACATAACAAACCATAACCAGTGTATCTGGCCTGTTGTTCTTTTTCCCCGGCCTGGTATAATGCATTCGCTGTCATTAATAATTACCTTAATTTGCAGATTTTCAAATTGAAATGTCATTAAGGCTAGTCCTTTGCACTGTGCCAGTGTTTTGTGAAAATATATTTTTATGGTAAAAGAAGTGCATGGTTTGAATAAAGAATAGTTTTTTTTCATCTTGTCTTTGTTGTCAGAGTTGGTGTTATGAAACTTATGACCATATAATATATATAATGTTTAAGTTTAATTTATCACAATATAGTCCACATTTTCCAATCACAATATATACTTCTAATTCATGTAAAACTGTTGGTTTACAGTCCAATCTATAACGATTTGAATTCCCAATGTAGGTTTAGATTTCTATATTTACAGACACATTGCCATCTGCTGGGCAGTAAGGGATAACAAATAATTCCCACTCATAAATGACAATCTTTCTGATATTCAAGTTTCAAATTAGGAAAACCCTTTCCCCTTGATTGGCTACATTGAATTATTCCCAAAACAAGTTTTAAAATAATAAGAAATAAAACGGTTAGTTATGTAGTTAAGTAGCTATGTGGCAACAATATGCTGACACTACATTCGTTGTGCTGCATTCAGGGTACTCACGTAAAACTCAAAATACAATCTTCGAATTTGACAAATAATTATGTTGATGCTCCAGATAATGACTTATAAGCACGTGCCTTATACAATAGACTAAATGTAAGTTATGTATAACTTCTTACTTAAATAAATAGCATTAATATTTCAACCGTTGAAAAATATAATAATGTCAGCCACCTTTCTGATGTCTGAAGCATAGACTGTCTGAAGCTAGTACGTGAAGGCAACCTTTTTCGAATGTGACGTCGACTTTACGTTCACGTCTCTGCCAGTGTTTTTAAAAAGCGGCGGTTGCTCATCGACCACCTTTTGTGAATAAGTAGGATTCATTTCTTTATTGTAGTATTCCAGGACAGTACAAAAACGTAAGTGTACTATGTTTTTGGCTATATTGGCCCTGACGACGAAGAAACCACTTTAACAGACTTTTAAACCTCTTAACAAACTAGCAAAATGTTGTTTGGGGCCCAGGCGTTGTTGACGAAAGCTAAGCTAGCTAAGTTCAGCGAATGCTAGGTCAATACAGGGTGCACTGCTCTTTGGTATTGTAGTAACTACAATTGTATTCCAATGTATTGTAGTTGTGTAGTAATTATATGCTACATTGTTGTTTTTTGAAGAACCCTTTGTTGTGAAGTTTAAAAATATTTTTTTTGAGCAAACTAACTAGTCCTAAAATATAAGGTTATGTCAATCTGACCATTAACAAAAACAACATTTAAACTTTTAGACAGCCTTTCCTGCATGATTTTGATGATTATTGATGAGCCATTTGCACCATGGAGACATTTATTTTAGTCTAGCAAATTATACTGCACTCAAAATTGTCAAAACAAAGTTATTAAACAATACAGTATCAGTACAATAGCTTTTTACATATGAGCTACCTGGCATCTTCTTTTTTAGTTGCTCTCTTTCTAATGTGTATGCAGACTTATGACATGTATTTAACAGTGCTTTGTTTTTTTCTTTTTAAGTAGGATCCTGGTGTTTTTCTGTAAAGTTGTAAGCATCTCTACTGCACCAGGATCATGCAGCAACAACAGGCTGCAGAGGAGCGAGGCCTTCTCGGTTCACTGTGTTCTGGACAGAAGAAGCTGCAGGGGAAGACCTTTTATCTGGACAGTTTGAAGAAACGCTCCACAACCCTGCTTTTGGAGGCTGTACCTCTTCTAGGAGGGGTAAGCATGTGTGAAGATTAAGTCAGTGTGGCCTGTGAATCCTAAGTGATGTAAATATTGTTAGTAGTGGTTTACATGCAGAATTAATTGTTGTTCTATATTAAAAAATGTTTTTGAAGTTACCAAATTGACTTAATACTAAGGCTGTTATCTTGGGTAAATTGTATAACTACATAGCCTCAAGTTAGGTTTTGAAAAAGGAAAGATAAAAGTCTGGTATAGATGTATTTTAGCTGAAACTAATGCTCAGTTCTGTGTTTTTTTTTTTCCTTCTGAAGAAGATCGAGAGTTTTCTGCACAAGGATATAAGCTTTGTTGTGACTGGAAGCCAAGACGGCCCGAAGGAGCAGAAATCTACAGATATCAAAACAGAAGCAAACGGGAAGAGTGACGAAGCCCAGCATCCTATAATGCAGCGAGAGAGCATCCTCAGCAGAGAAAAACGCCGACCAGGAACTCCTAGACCGACGGTACAGAGCATCACTCACCCATGCATGCTTAAAACCTTTCAGATTTTACAAGCAATGGTGCCCTAAAACAATGCCACCACTGGCTTTGTAGAATGATTATGCTGTTATTTATGAATAGTATTTTCATGTCCTGCAAAAGCCATACCTAATATCACATGACTGAGAATAACCAGTTATCAGGTAATGCAAGGGTGTCAAACTCAATTTCATCAAGGGCCACATTCGCATAAAGGTTGCATTCAAAGGGCCGGTTGTAACTATATAAATATATAATATATATATAAAATAAATTAATGTATTATATATTACATAATTGCCTCTGAATTGCATTATTATCGGATAGGATAATAACTAATTAACTACGTCTGAAAGCAGAAGTCCAGGTTAAATAATTGCAAGTCTCTTCAGTGCGCATGTCACAAAACGAGATGCATTGTGGGACATGTAGTTTATGGGCAACCTGCTTCTGTAAAGTGGCATGTAACCGTATAATAAACGTATTATATTCTTTGCAAGCTCTTGCGGGGCCACATAAAATGAAGTCGCGGGCCAGATTTGGCCCCCGGGCCTTGACTTTGAGACCCCTGAGGTAATGACTTGTAGAATGCGCTGATGCAAATACATATGACATTGTGAGACGTGCCAATTGTTATGTATATTTACTATTTACACATTTTGAAAATGCTACATATAACCATTTAGATACATCGTTATAATCATTATTTTTGTATTAATGCTGTATTATTCTCATCAGGCTTGTGGCAGCCGTGGGAAGGCCCTGCTTGAAAAAGCCATTCGCAACAATGTAAGTGTCAGTGCAGCCAAAATGTGGTTTATCTTGCAGATCTGGGTGCTTTAATGTTTGTGGATATTGGGGATTTACTGACGACTGACATGGTTTGTTATCTTGACTACGGTACTCTGATGGTTCTGTCTTGTAGGAGCGACTACATGCGAGCAGTGTTTTGACGAATGCTCGATCATGGGGAGTGAAGATTGTGTATGTGGATGGTATCCTTTTGACTTATAACGTGATTGAATGCAAACTGCTATTAGAAATGTTGTGTTCACATTTGTGGTGCAGTGAACCTCTGCTCTCAGCAGATGGCACCATGTGAATGCTTTTGTTCTGTGCTGCTGTGGTTTACTGATGCCAGCTGAAGAGTTCTGCATTTATATGTCACATTCTTTATCTAACAACAGTATACATATTATTCCTTAATGTTGTATCAGATGTCCTTTTTTATTTGAAACACTTGACACGAGAAAGCTTTGATGTTCCACACAGGAGGCCGGAGGTAAGATGTTGGACTGAATGCTTTTTTAAACTTCATTAGCTATCCAAATGCAGCCGTTTTTACATTCCTACATTTATAGCAAATAAATAATTTACGAATGTCAAGTAACGCCAGCATTAGTTCTCTAATTAATGAGTTTTATTTTGTACTTTTTCTTAAAGCTAAAGGCCAAACATCAAGCTGCTCAAGTTGTCAAAGGTAAGTTTATGGATGAGCTGCTCATATCTTTGTTTCACAACAATACTGTCTTTCTGTGGGTATTTGTGCTCATTTAATTCATCTGTTTATCTCCACTTTGCCTTTTCTACAGCTGTGCCTTTGAGGTCATCCTTTGTTAAAATTGAAGACTCAAGCAGGTGAGTTTCATCTCTAATTTTCTGTAGTTTTTTTATGTCTATGTTTAGACAAAATTATACTTTTTAATAAACGATTATTGGTAATGTGAATATGACTAAATGGGTAGAGGCAAATAATAGAAAAGCTGGAACATTTTAATACATTTAGAAGTTGGTCATCTCTTTCCTGTAATGAAGCCTTTAAAACCAGCTAAAGACAATTACTATCGTATTACAACATCCAAAATATAAGATACGGGTAGGCGTGTGGCGCAGTGGGTAGGGCGTTGGTGTTCGGGTGGGGTCACAGGTTCAAACCCCACTGGAGTCAGCATGTCGTTGTGTCTAACATGTAATAAGACCATATCCATTCTCATATCTTGATATTGATGTTATTCTGATACATGGTCCAGCCCTACTGTATTTCAGAAGGAAGCTGATGACTCAAGTGATTTTTCTTGGCTGGTCCATCACGACCCATTCAGTGGTCTCACAAAGTCATAGTTATAGCTACTTTAATCCTGTGTCCAATACCAGGTAATAAAGAAACGCATGAGGAAATAACGTATTTTGGCCTGCGCAGGTTCATGTAAAAGCTGTTCAGTATCAGATTAGATCCTTTTTTGCATGAGAGGGAAACTACAATGAGTTGCAGTGAACGTTCCCCATATTACTGCCCTTCCTATCCCCCACTGGGCATTGGTTGTGGAGGTTTGCATTTCAGCCCAGGCGATTTTGTTAATTGAACCTGTTGAGGTGTCCCATCGTGTAATGTGACAAGCCCCCCCTGTGATACCGCTCTCCAGGAGCCCAGAGCTCAAGGGGTTGGATTTCCATTTGATGACCCTTGCAAGCTCCACTGCCCCATCCTGCAGGGGATCTCTGTGTGTCAACAGGTCTTTTCACTTGCCATCCCAATTTAGTTAAGTGAAGTGCTCTGGCTAATGTGTGTAGAAGAACCCATGACATCTGAAACATTTCAGTATTAGATTATAGATAGATAGATAGATAGATAGATAGATAGATAGATAGATAGATAGATAGATAGATATATTTATATACTCATAAGTCTACCTGGGGTTGATCATAGTGTGTGGATTACAATATTTTCAATTTGAAAATATGATGTTGATGATACAAATATTCACGACATTGTTCAACCTCCATCCGGATATGATTGAATTTTGGTAAAACCTTTTATTTGATTTACATTTTGTGTATTGAATTATATTGTTTTTGTTTTCTATCCAGGAAATACAAGCCCTTTCTTTTGCAAAATATGACCTTGCCTACTCTGCGCTACTCGGGCCGATTTAGTCCCTTTGAAATTCCTCCTCCTCCTCGGTTGGAAAAGCCGGCAGAGAAAGACGAAGATAAAGCAAGGTTTGTTTAACTGCAGTTATTGAAGTGATCTAAACCTAGGCTTTGCTAACAAACTTTTTTTAAAGTCTATCTTGAACAACTCATCCTAACTATTGTTCTTTATAAATTAGGGAGAAGATAACAATTGAGAGCAGCATCCAGGACAAGTCTCAAACCCCACTCAGCTGTAACCCTCTGCAGCCCCCCAAAAAGAACGTGTCTTACTGTGAATGCTGTCATCAACCCTTCCATAATCTGGAAGAGGTAAAACTCTTAAACAATTACTTTTCTTTGCCTTGCATTGTTTTGATGATATAATTGTGACCGGTTGTCTTTGTTGGCCATTGCAGCACATTCAGTATGAACAACACCGTGCGTTTGCGCTGGACGCCTCAAACTACAGTGTGGTGGACCAACTGGTGGCTGAAATGCTTCCTGGATTCAACACCGATCCAGATCCACAGTCACAGGAACAACTGGACCGGTGAGTTTTGATTTTCACCCAGCTAGAGCTGCATTGATGAGTTGATCTTCAACAATGTTGATAATCAATTACATTTCCCAATAAATAAAAAATGGAATGCATAAATTGCAGAACGTTCTATAATCAGCCTCTGAAATATGAATATTTCCTGCTTTTCTCTGTTTTTATATCATATTAAACAGAGTACCTTCTGTTTTGAAATGAAAAACCAGACAGCACCTTGGATTTATAAGTATTCTCTGACATTTATTCGATGACCCGTTCCAATGAGCCAATCAAATGACTCAATCCAATGGGCCAATTAAACGACTTCATCATTTTTTTAATTAAATAATAATCTAATCGGTGATGAAAATAAGTGAATTGCTACTGACAATAATTTAGTTAACTCATTATTGGAGCCTTACACCAGCAGTTTATAATTTGTTGTGCAATTATTGTAATTTTTATTTTTCACGGGTCAAAAATGGGGTTTTCTGCATTTAAGAGTTTTCATTTTAAGATTCTCTGTCCTCCTCCTAGACCACCGACTCCTTTGCCTTTCTGTGAGCTGGAGCCTCTCACTGATGCTGAGGCAGAGCATGCTGTGCAGTCCCTGCAGAGAGGTTCACCTTCCAACATTCACCTCTCCAGCCCGACTAGGGGTCCTCCGTCCAGCTCATCACCAGGAGTTCAACTTACCATCCCAACTCCACCAGCCGCTCCACCTGCTGACATCCAGCCTTTCACTACCAACACCGACCTCCAACTTCTTGTCAGCCCTCCTCGCACTTCAAGTCCAGCCATGCCTGTTTTGGATGTAGAACCACAATACTACTACTCAGCCAACCAGCTGCTTGATATTCAAGATCTCTCCCCCTGCCCCTCCCCCGACCCTTACTCCCTGCCTCCGGCCCTCAGTCCTCAAGTGCTTTATCCTTATTACATAATGGAGCCGTACTGCCTGTACTCAGACCCTCCTGTCCTCAGTCCTCAAATGTACGCTGCAGAGGAGACTGTGGAAGGACGCACTTGTGAAATGGACACTGCAGAAAGTGTGTCTCACTCTGTCCCAGATCTTACCCGACTTTTTCCTTCTGTGTCTCTGACCGATGCAGAAGTAGTAAAGGAATCAAACCAAGAAAGCTTTTTAGGTCGAATCACTTGTTCCACAAATGGTTTAAAGTTGGCGGCTACGCTGTTGTCACGCAGATCCCGCTCCCTCCCTCGACACCAGTCAGTGACAGCACCGAACCCCAAAAAGCGCTGTAGATCCGCCAGCCCCGAACACAGCCGGAGCAAAAGGAGGAGGATTACAGCAGATTTTGGCTACAGTGGTAGCTGGACTAAAGAAGGGCATACAGCTGCCAAACCAGAAAGTGACACTATGCCAAAACATCAGCACTCATCGTTATTCGATTCAAAGTTCTTTTGCCAGGCAATACAGCCCTGTCCTGCGCCAGATGTTTCGCCAACATGCACTGAGGAATCGCTTGACTCTAAACAGATTTTTACCTCATTTTGTGTTCCTACTGTACTAAACTTCTCACAAACACCACATCAAATGGAAATGTTATCTACTTCTGCTGCTGTTCAACTATCACAGCCACTCTCCTCAAAGACTTGTTATCCTCTACTTCAGTTCCCCAATGATCAATCTCCCAGTGCATTATCCAGTCTAGACTATCAGCGTTCACTTTCCCACTCGGTGTGCATCGAGTCATCCCTCATCCCAGACTTTAACAGGCTCTCTTCGTCATCATCGGGCTCTGACTGGGACTGTGGCCTGCTGTCCCGCTTCGGAGCGACCTCTGCTGGTCCTCTGTCGCCCGCTGAGCAGAGCTGCGAGCTGGACCAGGAGCTCCTCCAGATGCCGTGCGCCTGGATGCGCGACACCAGCTATGAGTCACATCTGCACAACGTCCTCCAGCCGCCAAACCCGGCCGGATCGCTGTGCGGGGAAGAAATGGACCCATCAGCCTTTTCTAGGACTTTGGTGCAGATTGTTGAAGTTCAGCACTAATGGCTATTATCTTAGTCAATTTAAAGAACCGGAAGAATCTCTAACAGGAAACTTAAAGGCTCCAGACTTTGCAGCTGCGTATCCCACTGCAAGAAACAATGGGCCACACTTAAGCTCATCCAAATAAGTCAATAAAACTGAATACATATTTGAAACTTAGTGCAAACTAAAAAGTAATATTTAGGTGTTTTTGCAGATGCTGATTTTTATTTATTTACTTCGTAGATTTTACTTTAGTAAATCATGCGGCTTCCCGTCAATTTGAAGAGCATCCATTATAATTTCTCCTGTCAACCCTTTATCCTCTCCGTGCACAGAAGTCTAAGCAATATTCTGTATGTGGTGCTGACTCAGTCTTTCAGCAGCTATGTCCGGGAACGCATGGTGGTATTGAGAACTTAATGAGGCTTTTCTGAAAGGGGCATTACTCAATTATTGTAAGTGCTGCGTCTGGATCAGATCCCACTCACGCCGGCGTTGATGAAGCATTCGTAGAGTGGAGGACTCGTACAACCCGTGAGACAAAAATCTGTCTGATTAATGTCGAAATTGCTCTTTCCTTGTGAAGGTCGGCCAAAGGACTGACTTTGTCAAGGAGAGCTGTGGGCTGCACAGTGTTGTGCTGCAGCCGCTACAGGCAGCTTTATTGTCTTAACTTGTCAAGTGTAAGGTCACCTACCATTAAAAACTCGTCATTGCTCTTAACAAATCAAACGACAAGTTAATAGTCAATACCCCATTTTCAAAGATCACACCTTCTGAATACGTTGCATGGTTATTTAAAACGTGTCTGACAAAGACACACAAAGTTTCAGTTTATGGAAGACAAGCAGTTCTCTTAATAACTTGTGATGTAAATTATTGTTCAGTGTTTGAAAATAAATGATTTTACCATAAGCATGTTGTTCTTGCGAAGTTGTTGCTCAATTAAAACAAAGTTTAGGAATGTTGGTATGTTGAGGGTGTTTTACCGTTAAATGCTGACTCAGGAGAGCTAAAGGAGAGCATAATCGGGAGGGAGGGAAGAGAGAGGGAAGGACAACAGGCGGTCATGTCCTGTTTCGACTCACCGTATTATGTATTTTTGTATCCCAATCATGTTGTGACCCTTACATTTGATCCTGGGACACTATATTTAGATCTAGACCACTTAAGTTTGGCATTCAACAAAAGTAATGTTCTCTGGCTGGTAAGGCTGAAGGTCTTACATATATTTGAAAAATAGCACAATTAGGGGAAAGGTAATGATTGATATTTGGATCATGTTAATTTGTATGATATTATTATAAATCACCACCTCTAATGCATTTAAAATGTGTTTCTCTTTAGAAGCTGTTATTTCCCTGAAAACATCTATCCAAATCTGACTGGTTGATTTCATATTTATAGCTCCTATCAGGGGTTACCCTAGGCCTAGAGTCCCCGAACCTGAGTTTTGAGCCCATCAAGTGTTATCAAAGAGCGTGGGCGTGGGCCCGTCAAAACCCACGTGCTCCTTGTTACCAGGTCCAATACTCCTCGCGCAGCCTCACTGCTTCAATCAATCTTAGTATCATTTATCGTTAGACCGATAGGCAGGAGTGTGATTCCCGCTGTGAGGCTCCGTGACACCGAGACACACCATGCTGCTGCAGCCGAGCAGAGGAGCCTCGTCCGGGGGCTTTTAACTCGCTACAGGCGGGAAGAGGCGGTGAGAGATGCGGTCGCTGCGTTCAAAGGAACCCCGCTGTTGTGTTTGTCTTCACTGTCAACAACACTGTCAACATCAGACCTGCTGCAGCTGCGCCCTCGGCTACTATCAGTTCATTTAACGGCGCTGCACCGAGGAAATCCCCGGGACTATGAGAGCATCATGCTCGCTGTGAGCTGCTTGCTGTTCGCTGCAGCGTGTGCACGGTGCGCCGTGGCAGGTAAGACCTTTTTTATATCATGTAATTGAGTAGTTTGTCACAAGCAACCAGTTATACGTGGTTAAAAAAACAACATAAGAAATATACGTTTTCTGTCTCGTATCGCATCCGTTCAATTTCATGCATCGTGTAATTGCATTGGTGTCAACGAGCAGCTGACCAGCAGTTTTTGAATTCTGCAGAAATTAGGCATATTGCATTTGCATCCGTAGACAATCACTTTTTTATCATGTGTCATCTGCAGGTCTGGGTGGAAGTCTGGAGGGAAGACTGCCGCCTGCAGAAGAGGTTGTTCAGCCCAAGCGGCTCCTGCTTCAGATCCACTCCCAGGATGAGCTGCTCCACAGCCGCCTGGACACCCGGGTCAACAACTCCACAGCCGGAGGGCAGGTGAGCTTTCTCTGCACCTGTGGCTGGTTTTTACATTCAGACACAATCACATGTTTATTATTATTCCCCTTCATTCAATCTCAGCTTCACCATTTTCTCATCAGTAGTGCTTGAGGACAAATGTTGAACAACATCGCCAAATGGTGTTTCTTATACAGAAGAAGGGCTGAGTTCTTTGAGACAAAACAAGAAGTTGAATATCATAGAAAGTCTGACACATTTGAATCATGAATAATTTCAGGTTAATGTCACAGAGATGCATTCCTCTTATTGAGATACAAATCCTTATATTCATGCTGTAGCCTACAGACATCATTTCTGTTTTGACATGTTTTAGTAATTATTTTTGCCATTCAGGTATTTCATTTTTTTCTTTATCAAGTTTGTATAGCTTTTACTATAGCATTCAAAATACTATTGTGATATCTATAGATCTATGGGCTGTTTGAATTTAATTTTCATTTAATTTAAGAGGCGCTGGATTACTTAAATGATATCATTATGTATTAGTAACATGATATCAATATGTCTTTCTTTAAATATATTATAACCTTAAAATAAAACAATATCAGGGAAGATTACAGTAGTGGGAACACATTACATAAATAGATAACATGTTGTTATTATGTTTTTAAAATCTAGGAAAATGATGTACCTTTAGTCCTCAACTGCTCTGTGTCCCAACCTGAGTCACCCTTGTTAGTCCTCCTTTGGGGTCATGTGTCTGTCACTCCCCACACCCTGTGACACCCCCCACATGATACCCCGGCCATAACAGGGCAGAAAAAACTCAGCCCACCCCCCCTCATCTAGCTGCCTCCTCCTTTCCAGTCCATTAGATTATATTTCACACTTCTACCTGCCCTCTCTCGTTACCTTCACTATAAACGCTGTCAGTCAGTTGCAGGCTGTCAGTGCATATGACACAGCTCTGACCTTCAGCCACCCTCTGAGGGTGGCATGCTGTCTCATGAACTCTCTTTTGGAGATTATAGACGCCCATTGGAAGAAGTATTAATGCCGACATATTACAATATGCAAAATGATATATGTGGTAGAACCAGGATTCAGAGTTGCTCTACTAGTTGTAAACTACACATTTAAAAGCAAAATAAACATACCATGATGTGCAAAACTTGACACAGCATGTATGTTAAAAAATTTAATAATATTTAGATAGATACATTTAAGATGTAGTTTTTAACTGATACACTCTCTCAGTGCAATATCAGTCTTTATATATATAGTATATATTAATACAGGAGCATTTAGGAGTTTTCAAATACAGATGCTTCCCAAAATTGGTAACTTGTTGTCAGCAAGTTCACAATCTCAACTTCAAAAGGACATTAAAAAAATACTATAAGACAAAATATAATTGGATGTTTTTCTTTCAACTGAGATAAACGAGGACCTGACATTTAATTAATTTCTCATGGTTAATAATCCATTATGTTCAGTGGTTAAAATGCCGAAAAATTATGTCAACTGCCCATTGTAAATGACTAAAGCCTATATAATGCTTTAATCCTATCCACAGGAATTAGCATACACTCAGACTTGAGAAGATGGCAAATATTTAGTGATCAAACTAATTGTTAAAAAAAAAGTTGTCTATCAACTCTATAATTCAGTGTCTGAGATGGTGTCCAAATGGGATATTTTGTATTGGATGTAAAAATAATAAATGACTATACAGTATAAATCTCCACAGTCTTAACTCCGATGCAGCTTTCTTATCTCTACTCACAGGCTGTGGGCTTTTCATTGTACAGTATATGGACCCAGTGGAGGTTTAGATTGATGCTAAGTGGTTTGCAGAGAGTGCATGGCAATACTAATGAGACCGGCCTGATGGGAGCCACCACAGAGCTCTGTCTCTAACGTGCACGAGGCTCACCTTGGAGCAAGGTTACACTGAGCCCCAACACTCAGTGTAATCCTAAAAAGCCTCGAGGATGGATGAGACTCTCTCCACTTCAAGGAGAGGCTACCAAAATAGGACATCCCATTATTATATGTCTTTGTTGCTTGTGTCTCTATGCATACTTACTGTTAATAATTGAATTCCTTACATCCATCAGATCCCTGCTCCACCCTCTCTTTTTCTTATTCTGTCACATTTTCTTCCTGAAAACATGAAATACTTGACAAATTAGTGAGTCATTTGTTTGAGTCAACGTCTGGGACCCCAACCATGCATGGATTTGAATAAGAGAAGCATGTTTTTTTTAAATAGAAATACACTTCAGACTATAAAGCACTTATTTTTTGCACATCACTCAAAGTCTTAATCTTTTGCTTATCCACCTCCCATGCAGAAAGCGCTATGACACATAGACTAGAAACGGAAGCCTATATGAATGCATGACCTTGATGGTGGTTTGGATGTGTTAGGCAGGAGATACAAATGTTTCCTCTATTTGATGAAAATGATTGGACAACGAAATTATAATGCTGCTCAAAGCTGAGGTAGTGATCATTTCATATTATGTGATTGTGTATATACTGCACAGTATGTAGTGTTAATAGGGGAAACCGCTTAACGAACTAGAAATTGGGTAAAAAGGCCCTTGATTTCTGAGGTGTGCTAACCCAAAAACATTAACAGACAAACATAATACATCAAATTCAGTATTTTGAAAAATGTTGTTGCTACTTTGATCAGTATTTGTACATTCAATCAACTAAGTTACTTTTTCCCCATCCCCTTTGCTCTCCTCCCTCCACCCCTCCCTCAGCCCGTCCATCTGGCCCAGAGCAGCTTCTTGGTGAAGGCCTTCGGCACTTCATTCATCCTTGACCTGGAACTCAACCAGTAAGTTGCTTCATGCGTGCAAAGCATTCACACGTCCTCACCCCACAGTGTTTAATGGTTTGTTTACAGCATACACTGACATGAAGATACTTGCATAGAAAGTTTAAAGCACCACCTATCTTTCCTTACCCGTTTCTCCCGCCCACTTTTTTTACTGTATGTCTTGTGCGTTGGCATTATAAGGACTGGCTGCTTGCCAAATGTATACCTCCCCCTATTCTCTTGCTCTAATGGACTGTATTTCTGTAATACCTTTCACTGGCTTTCCGAAGACTTAGAATAAATGAATCTTGAGACCCTTTGGTTATAATCAGACATTTGTTGATCTAGATTCAGTCTAGTCATAATGTCTGGCTAGAAATGTTATTCTGTTAAATAGCACTCCAGAATAATGACCCAAAATGGCAGTTAACAGTCAGTGCTGCAATCTTGCTTTTCCAAATAAGCATTGAATTCAGGTTCAAACTAAATGTTAGAATGATTATTGCTCTTCTCCCTTTTTTTTCCTTCTCTCCAGCAACCTGCTTTCTACTGACTATGTGGAGCGTCACTATGGCGAGGATGGAAAGCTGTCTGAAAATATGGTAAGCCATTTTTATAGAAATTGTTCAACATTTTGGGATATACACTTCCTGTCTGAGACTTGAGAAAAAATCTTTACTACTCTCACATTGATTTTTAAGTAGAGTTGCAATATTGAATCAACTATGTGATTATTCAATGGACATACAAATAATCGCCTGCTGATTTTTGTGACGCAAAAAGGACAGAATATTCTGCTTCAGCCTCTCAAATATGGACATTTTCTGCTCTCTGTATTTGTATATATTCAGATAAAAGTCAAACTTTTCCTTTAAATAAACTCTTGATAAATAATGCCATCCTCATTTTAATCAGAATTTTAAAATGCGTTTCCATCACAGACTATTTGATTTGTGCCAATGCATAAAGGTTTATTTAATTGAAATATTAACGTAACTTGTTTCCAGGGATTAATGTTTCCAATGGGTGTATTTCCCCTGAGAGAAGTTAAACAGAATCAATATTGAATACTTTAGGCAGATAATCCTAGAAATGGCAAATGTGTTTGAATGTGTCGAGGCAAGTAAACGTTTGTGAAGTTGGTTTGTTAAAGTGACTGTTAGCTCATCTGTTTTGCTGTATACTCTGGTTTCTTACATCAGTTAAAACATCATAAATTGTTGGCGTCCATAAACAGCTGTCTGGTTGCATTGCACACAGATTTTTGATGTCCTCTCTGTTGTGCATTATACATTTGATCAAACAGCCTTATATCAATGTTATAATTTCTTTAGACTCAAGAACATCTGATAGACGGCCTCTTTCTGTCTGTATCCTGTCTATATTTGAGTCTTTCCCTCCCTGTTCCTGCCCATCTATCTCTGTCTCTCTTTCACTGTCTTTGTCTCGGCGACCACCTGACCAATCACTAGATGGTTGCCATGGCTTCCAGCAGTCAGCAGCGGCAGCAGCAGTGTTGGTCCATGTTGTCGTGTCGTGAGGGGAATTCAAATCATGTACATTTCTAGAAGCATGAACAGCAAATCTCTCAACCACCATTGTACCGACTTTTGTAAAACAATAAACCCCAATATCCGAGGTCTGTGTACATTATTTAAATGATAAATTATTAAATGTATCACATGAAATAATGTCCAACATATATTTAGAATATGTTGGAGCAAAATTATAAAACAAAAGTTATGTTGACACATTCTAAATAAATGAATTCTTAGAATATTTGCCCCATGAATTAGTAATGTTGATGGGAGTCGAACACTCAGTGAGCATTGAACACGTTTTTAGACCATAATGCAGCATTCTTCCACAGTACAGTAAATGTGTTCAGTGTCTTTTGTTTACCCACCACATATCACAGAGTTTATGCTTCAACTGTAATGGCCCGCTTGGTATATTGTCAAAGTCTCTAATGATCCATTTGAAAGGATCCTCCTCAAATCATTCGCAAATATTGATAATTGTGTTGACCTCAGATATGCAATGTCTAATGGCCTTTATTTTTTACAATATGTATTTTGCCACTGAAAATAATAAAGTAGGATTTGTCATGTTTGGGGAAATGTGCAAAATACCTTTTGAGAATAATAGTAGCTCAAGAGCTGATCCTTGGGGAACACCATGTGGTACTTGCATGTTTTGAGAGTTGCAGCCCATTAGTCTGATAGTTCTGTATTGGGAAGTATTTTAAAATCTTAGATACAATATTTACTCAATGATGACTCTTGCTCGCAGTATAAAAGGCTTTCCAAAAAAGAGGAGTATGTTACAAATTAATAAATTAAAACCAAATGCTGTAAATTTTTCTATTTACAAAAGTCATAGCTATACTGAATTGGTGGGACATTTAGATGAATACGGTAGGGTTAATTGTGGTCTATAGTTTATCAAATGTAGAAATAGCTTATATGGGCATTTAATTATCTGCATGCTACACTGTAGGTAGCTCCCTCCCCCTCCAACATCATTTCAATCTAATTTTATTTTATTTTTATTGACGTGACAATAAATTCCTCCTTCCTTTTGTGTGTCACTTTTTTTATTGGCCCCTGCAGTGTAGATCCATATTATTGCATAGAGCTGGTGACTGGTTCACTTGGATTGAATCTAAATGACACGGAGGATATATTGCATTAGAGATGAGGATGGGCTTGAATAGATAGAAGCTGTTTTATATATTAATGTTCTTCTGAGTTTTTTAGAAATGTGTAATAATGTCGATCCCTCGGAATTGTTGATGAAAACCCAATTGAAAGGAGGATTTTGTTTTCCTGTTTAATTTATTTAAATCTCTTATATCCTTAGCAAAATGTGGCTTTATTTGATGTGAAAGTTAACATGTATCTTGTTGTCACTGAGGACGTCAAACAGTCTTATTTATAATTGTGTACCATCTAGTCTTCCTTTCACTTTACATTAACTCCCATTGTTTCAGTCCTCTGCTCCTCTCAGCTCAACAATGCTGAGTCAAAGTCCAGGCATCGAGTTAACTCCAGCTTTTATAACTCACTTTGTTTCTTATGTCACATTTAATCCTCGTCCCTCCAGGACAGAACTGCCTATACGCCTCTATTTGTGCTTGCAAGCTATTTTATTTCATTCTTCTAGTCACACTTCTATACTGCTGACTTGTCCTTGCCCTACCAGCACTGATGATATCTCATGTTTAATCCATGCTTTCTCATGAAACATGGTTTCTTTGTATGTGCGCGTGGCCATTATTTGAGCCCCATACATCAAGCACTTACAGCAAGCGTGTGTCTGCTGTTAGACAATTGGATTTCCTCCATTTAGCCTTGTAATCCGACCTTTTTATTTATTTATTATCTTGCCCCTGACTAAGTGCTGTGGGCTGTCTCATTATTCGGTATAAATGATTAAAGTCCCTTTTTTCTCAACAACTTAGCTGCCACTGAATCTAAATAAGCTAGATACAAGTAGTTATTCTTTTTGGTTAATTGTCAGAATGTGGCTTCTTAGCCTTAAACTAATCCCTGAAATGATCAAGTGTTGTAACTTCTCTTTTTTATTACAACTTAATCATTTCCTGCACATTATTTTAAATGTTTTTTTGCTCGTAATACATATTTGTGTGGGTGCATTGCTCGTGATCTCTAAACCAAAATATTTAAAATCAGGAATTCTGATTTAATTTCTGACAAACTGAAACTACACTAGAGGAGTTGATTGTAGTTATATTGATGCAGAAACATTTGGGAGCCTATATCTGTTTTGATTTACATCCAATACTTAAGCAAATGCTTATATTTTGTAAGTTGAAGCCTCAACCCTTAGTGTTGTTTTGTGGAACTAGTGGACAAGGAATTTAAGCCTATAATGGTTTGCAATGTTCAACAGCTTCCTTGCTATAACCAGATCAGTGTAAAACACCTAAACAAAGCATCAACATCACCCTCCCCCAAATTTAATCAAAATTGAAACCAGCACTTTGTGTCCTTGGAGACATCATGTTTGACAGACGGACAGACTCTGTTTCATTTGAAGCTCCCCCACGCTGGACTCCCAGCGGGTAAGGGATGAAAAAAGCCTTTGATTTTAGCTTGAAGCGGACAAATACAGTACAGTAGCCCATTTTAGATCCAGTGAGGAAGCCTTGTAAAGCACAATAACAGGTGAAGTCGTATTTGTAATGGGAAATATTTTCTGATGAGTTCCTACTTCATTTGACAAGACGTCAAAGAGATTTTTCAGGCTCGGAGTAAAGGTTGACCAAGCATAAAGGGCAGCAGCTCCACGTTGCCTCTTTTCTTTTGGGTCCAGAAGCCGTGCCCGACAACAGCAGGCTCAGGTGGCAGACATGACTTATTGGGGTTTGTTACAAACACCTGAAACCGACTCTCTCTTCCACACACACACCACTCGACACAAACAGCATGTGACTGTAATCTCCGTCCATTTATAGGCAGACCGCCTGATTATCCAAGAACACTATCCTTAGTGTAATACTGTCTGTCAACGTTTTTTTATTTCTCACACATTTATCATGCACATGTTGTTTGAATGAAACCAGCAAGTCTCCTCTCAGATTGTCGTAATCTGATCATTCCTGTACTGTGAGAGGCAGCGTGGAAACACTATCATCAAATCATGATCGTCCAGGCGAAACCTTTTAGGGGATTATGAATAATCAGGTGACGGTAGCTGGAAGCCAGGTGTAAAGTTAGGCCACCCATTACAAATTAAGTTATTGAGAGGAGGAAAACATTTTGCAAAGTGGGCTTCTCACCCTATATGCTCCAGGACTGTCAGATAATAGTAAATCATTTCATAGATAAATAAAGATAATGTAGATGTAAAATGAAAAAACGATTTAATTAGAAACGGTGTTAAAACATTTTAGGGAGGTTTTTGATGTCCAGTTACAAGTCATTATCAACTTATACATTTTAACCACTCATTACATTAAAACATTGATACCAACGCCAAGTTTCTCCCATTTTGCCACTATAATTCTTACACTTGAATTTTCTCCACATCACTAAAACAGACACAATTTAGACCTAGAGCTTTTCCTTGTTGAAACTCAAACTTGGCTGCAGTTTTGTAGGTGTAGGTTTCCCAGAGTCTTTCAGGAGTCACTGATATCTTACAGTTGACCCACCAGTTCAGCTGACAGTCAACACCTGCCCTCTTTGTATTTAGGGGCTGAAAGATCAGAAACAGTGAGGGGATCACAGTCCGTTTTCTTTTCTGACATATGAGGTGATTTCTAGTGGATGATCAGTGTCTCAATGTTCCTTATGGTTTGTTTCCAGGGAGGAGAGCACTGCTACTACCATGGCCGTGTGCGGGGGCTGCCGGGCTCCTGGGCCGCACTGTCCACCTGCCACGGCCTGCGGTGAGTCCAACGCAAATGTGGTCACTTCACCACAATTCCACATTAAAAAGTGTTGTGTTATTATGTGATTCACATGTTCTGTATTGCTGTAAATCCCCCCCCAAAACACAGTAGTTCTGCTACGTTAAGTCAAGTGGAAAATCCATGCCAGCCCAGTTTTCAGTTTAGAAGAAAATGACACAAAGAATATCAATGAATATTTCATTTTTTTTCAAGTGAATCATTTACTGTCGAGCCTTTTTGGTCACAATATTAATTCCAGCTGGAACCATCAGTTGCTTATCTTAGTTTATTGTAAAGACTGGAAACAGGGAAACGGCTATCTTGGCTCTGTCAAACTAAATCCACCTACTGGCATCTCTAAAGCTCAATAATTAATACATACAAACTGCCAAATAGCTTGGTACATATCATATCTCTTTCACAATAACACATTTACATTTTTACTCAGTTTTTGCACAGATTAAACAAACAAGATGTGAGCTGCTACACTAATTTAGTCACCTTTGTAAATCCCCAGGCTATTTTGTTTCCAGTCTGTGTGCTACGCTACAAGGCTGTTAGCTTCTTGTTTACTGTAAAGACTTGAGGCACGTGCACATATTATCCCAAACTCTTTTTTAAATACTCAAACATATTTAACCTACGGCAGAGCTTAACCATTCCGAAAAGCTTTTATTACATAAAAAAACATGTACTGCTGGAGGCCAAATTTAAAGCACATCAACACATACGGACACAAACTAGCCCTAACAAACTCTAATATGCTGCTGTGTTTTGTGTTTTTCAGGGGAATGTTTTCTAATGGGAACTTCTCATACGGGATTGAACCTGTTGGCAGTGGAGAGGTGAGTCAGGTTTTTAGCAGGAGAAACCCGTCGGGGGGGTGGGGGGAATCAACTAGTCGAATTAGTAGTAAACACACACATATGAATTTGGCATTAAACCAACGTTGCAACAATCTTGTGTGAATAAACAAAATATCGCAGCCCTGGCACAAATCATTCAAACTCAACAACATACTGTTAAAAGTCGCCCACAGGCTCAATTTCTTTTTCCGTCTCCATGACTTAGCATCAGTTGAGACAGTGTCACTCTATCTCTAAGCTGCTGTATGGAAAGTATTGAGTTGACACGCAATCCACCACCTCTGAAACACATCTCCTGTCTCATATCTGAGGGAGACGTCATCTCACAGAGAAATGATGGACAAAAACAAAAGTGGCTTTTTGGATCTTTTCAAAATACTGAGATTTGATTTTTAAATAGATCTTGTATTAAAAAGAAATGGGTGTATAACAGACGGATGAATGGGAGGAGGAGAAAGGGTTTAGAGTGGGAGAGGCTGAGCTTTTTTCCATTAAGGCCCACAGTAATAGAAGTACAGCTCAATTCCATATACTCGAGAGATGGATCGATAGCCTCCCAGCTCATCTTGAAAACCGTTCTCTCCCCTCTTTCTCTCTTTCTCTCCCCTCTCTCTCTCTCTGAGAGGGGTTATTTTCATAAAGTATTTATCCCGAGCTCAAGTGTGCCACAGTGTCCACTAGTTTAATTGCCATTATGACAGCCCAGTGATTAATTAATTATGCATCAGAGCACTTCTCTCCCTGTTGATCCATCTCTAGCTCAGAGGACGCAGCAGCGCTTTCTCACCCCGAGAAGCCGTGGATTTGAGTCCAGGTTGAAGTTATTTCAAGGCTTATATGAAGTTGTCACCATAATATGATCAACTCTACATTTTATAATTTACAATTTTCCCTCTTTTGACCATAATTGGTTAAGATTTCCTTGTGACCCAATCCACCATCAGTTGCTCTAACTTAAATTGTTTTGGCTTGAGGTGAAGTTTGACTTAGTATAACTCTTAACTTATTATTATTTACCTTGCAGTATGTGAGACTGTTTATGCAGGACCTGTTTGGCATTGAAGATTCAGTTTAAACAATGTTCTGAGCAAGCGGCTCAGAAAAGTTCTGACATAAAATATATATATCTATACTCAGCGACAACATAACTTTGGTTTTATACTTGCAGAAAAAAGGCTTACTCATTCCTCTATCCTCTTTCTCTGTTTGTTTCTCCATCTGTCACTGTCTGTTATCATTTCCCCGGACGCCCTTCAGGAGCACAGTGACCACATTGTGTATCGGATGCCCGACATTGACCTCTTCCCACCTCCCTGTCCAGGTAGGCCCGTTTTACCAAGAAGCTCCACAATGAAACTCCTCACAGTTACTTTCCCCTGTAACAAAGTATTTCAGCCCTTCCTGATGCATTACAAGTTTGATAGAAACAAAATCCCTTTACCTGGTCTGCCCTTCTTAAGCCTTTTTGACAAGATACCTGCTGTAATACAAATTATAGACATGTCAAACTGATTAGATTTTGATAAGAGTTTGTGATGTGATGCAGCTTCGGTGTGTTATTTGTTGTCAAAAAATTAGATTTGATCAAACCTGGCAGGATGCATCTTGTTAACGATAAGCCCACAGGCTGTTTTGGGACAACATGTTCAGCCTCGTTCTTCGACATTGGATCGTTTAACCGAATGTTCTGTAACACAAGTCTGTTTATTTGATGGCTGTTCTCTCATACACGCACGCACACGCACAGACAGACAGACAGACAGACAGACAGACAGACAGACAGACAGACAGACAGACAGACAGACAGACAGACAGACAGACAGACAGACAGACAGACAGACTCCTCCTCGGGTTGTCCAGCTGCCCTCCTCGCCCTTGCTTAACGTCTCATTTGGCTGCCTTTTCTTTGCCTCTCCTCTTTGTCCCTGACACTATCTGCCTTTCTGGATGCCCCCCCCCCC